AAGAGCGTCCTCGAAGAGCTAAAAAGACAACAGAAATCTTAAAATGCTACCCGGTGCCCATCCACTTCCAGAATGCTTCTCTGCTGAACTCCCAGTACTACTTTGCTGCTAAATCCCCAGCCAACAGCCTCCAATCGGCTCAGCCTTTTACTATTGGTGATAATAAGACGTACAATGGATACTGGAACACCCCTCTCCTTCCCCATAAAAGCTACAGAATTTATTTCCAAGCTGCTAGCAGAGCCAACGGGGTAAGTTTTATAAATGGCTGTTTACTTAGGCCATTCAGTGTTATCAGTGCAAACACAGTCAGATCACATAAGGTAGCAGTAAGAAGGAAAGTCATGCTTTTGTGTGCTTTTACTTGGAATGAATGTGTTTTATTCTCTCTTTTTTAAATTATTTTCACCTGGAGAAATTCATGGGAAGAAATGCATATATTCATATTTGTTTGGGTAGGAAGAATATATTGTCAACATGATGGTTTTTATTTTCAGTTTTTACTTGTTACCAAAAGTTGGCTAGTAATTCTGCTTAGCCTACTATTTTACAGGGAAATAGTACAGCTCTAACACGTACATTCAGCTCATTTACAATTTTGTGAGATTCACAACATCTGTCTTTTCAGCATATTCTGTCCCATTTCTTTGGTTCCACAAGAGTTTATGCTTCCTATAGCTGGGACTAAATTAGTTATCTTTCTTTTTTTCCTAAGAGAAAACAGCTTTGGAAAGATGAGATAGAAACAAAATAAAAACTATCAAGTTGTTTTTGAATTTTTTTCCCTTTCCTATTCAGACCAACCCAGAGCTCTGATGAGATAGGAAAGTCTCCTTAGAAGGAAGGGCGAATTTTCCAGATACGACAGTGGTTTCCTCCTTCACAGCATGGGTCTCGGTACCATCACTGCCTTTGGCCAGTGAGAAGGGGTGGGGGGGAAATCAGGGGCACAGGTTTTGCCCACGAGTGTCTGCACAGGGAGCCAGTGAGGGTCCGGAGGAGGAAGCCAGGGGCTTCCTGGCAGAGGCGTTCTGTGTGTAACTCCAGGCTCGCCACCTGCTCCCAGGGTGCCCACCAGCACCACTGCCAGCACTGGAGCCGGAAAATGTATCAGAGCGCAGTCCAGGTGCTAATCACTGTGTGGTTGATGCTACACTTGGAACAATGAGAACCTCCCTTATCCGTATTTAAAGAGAACTGCAGAGATTTTATTTGTTTCACATAAAACATGAATAGTGATTTTTTTTTCCCCTCTTTATTTAACACAGGAAACCAAAATAGACTGTGTCCAAGTGGCCACAAAAGGTAGGTTGAAATTGTGCGAAGCTCTGCTGGCTTCTGTCCTTTACGAGTTTAGATGGCGTTTCAGAACTTCTTAAAATGTTCATGTCATTAAAATCAGTGTGTGGGGGGATGTGTGCTCCTAGGTGTGTGCTAGGATTGTAGGCCAGTTAAATTTGACTGTGTTTCACACAGGTATTTTTTTTAAATGAGAAGTCTCATTGCTGTGGTTCAAAACAGTTTTCAATGGTTATCTTTTTAAAACTTCTATTAAAATAGAATTAATTTTTATATGATCTCATTTATACTGTGGTATAAACCACAGTACCCTACATAGTAATTCTGTGTCTATTGAATGTTCAGGTGCACAATAGTAAAATACCTCCTGCTGTTTTAAAGCAATTATCTAGTTATAATAGATCTATAGAGTCTGTGTGGGCTTTTTTCACTGGGGATGTGTGTCTCTTTGAACCCAGGAACCAGGTGATGTTATTGTGGACCTTCTGTTTCCCAGGCCTGGTTACAATCCTGAGAAAATGTGATGGAGGTTGAAAGGTAGATTAGGATGAACCAGCGTAAGCTCACCACACAGGGCCTCCTAAAGAAGAGAGTGCAGCTGTGTGTGTGTGTGTGTGTGTGTGTGTGTGTGTGTGTGTGTGTGTGTGTGTGTGTGTGTGTGTGTGT